TATTTATTTATTTATTTATTTATTTATTTATTTATTAAATTTTTCAACCGCCCATCTCCCCCCAGTGGGGGAACTCTGGGGGAGTTAAATTAAATTAAAAACATTACTAAAAAGGAGAGACCAAGAGGATGAAAAATCTAAGGCTGAAGGTAGAAGGCCTCTATGGGGCTAGCCATCCCCATGCTTGAGGTATTCCCAATACCTCAATATATAAAGAAGCAGTGCCTTAAAAGACATTAGCTCTCAAAATGTGATTCTGAAGCTTCCTAATATTCCTTAGTTTGCACTTGAAGCATTCATGTAAATATATCAAAAATTCATTGGGCGAACTTTAGCAGAGACTTGTACAAAATGACAATCTCCTGTTTTCTGCAGAACGAGCAAGTGCCTTCAGCCGTGTTTGTGAGTTCTGAAGATTGCATAATTTCCTTAAAAATAAAAAAAAAATGACAATTGAAACTTTTAAGATTTTAAATTACATACCAGATGGATTGTGATTGAAATGATGTAAAATTTCAAAGTGAATAATTGGAGAATATGCTATGTTATACCTAATGTCTGCTAAAAAGCCATGTACTTATTTAAATAATGTATTGAAAGCCAGCTGTCTAGGTAATCTGCTGTATTTATTGCAAGAAAAGTAAGTTTCACTCATTTTTCCTTGGCTTATTTTTGAGGAATGGTCTGATTCTTACGTGGCGTTATACTAGTGCTTTTAAGTAAGATGGAGACAGTTTAGTGCAGTGGTTAAGGCACCAGGCTGGAATCTGGGAGACCATGAGAATTTGAGAATTTAGGTGTAAAATTTAGTATCAGCAACTGATGAAACAGAAGGAGAAAATAAATGTACAAATCACTTATGTGTCAAATAAGTTTGCTATGTTTTGAGGGCATACATGAGTTATACTGAAATGGTTATGTGAGGTTTTTGATCTTCATGATATCAGACCCTGGCTTTCAAATTAAAGGCAGGTAAGAAATTTCACATCCAAAGAGACACTTATTTTTGCTGAGTTATCCTATCATTTTCTGTTTGTTACTGCCTATCTCTTGCCTATTTGGAAATAATCATTCATGGCCAGCTAATAAAATTAACCTCCACATATCCTATATAGAATCCTATCAGGAACTCAATTTTTTAACTACCAGTTTTAGAATTTATTTTCTCAGGTCTTCCCTCCCAGGTTTTTCAAGCAGTGACGCTCAGAACTTGCACATGTTCACTTTGATAATTTTCACACTCTGGCTTTAGTTAATTTCTGTAAGGCCAGAATATCTGGTCTTTTGTAGATTATGGAGCAGATGGTGATCCAAACGGAGTGAAGTGTGAAGTTAATGCCCTGAAATAACTGCATCTCTTGTAAGTGCCGAAATATTATCTCCCACCCACCTGGCAAACTAAATGATAGAGTATACATACTATTCAGCTTACAGCTTATTGGTTAGAGCTAAAACCCTAAGTGAGTTTACAATATTGGAAACCTTGAAGAGATTCTTGGAGGCAATATTTATATTGTACTGTCATAACATTCTATTTCATGCCATTAAAAAGAAAAACTTGTTTTTAATTACATCATGATTTGGATCTCATAAATAGATCTCTTTAATAAAAATGTAAAACTTTTGTTCCTTTATCAGCTGGATATATTATGCAATGAAGAAATTCTGGGCAAGGACCATACTCTCAAATTTGTAGTTGTTACAAGATGGAGATTTAAGGTATGCAATATTGGTAATTGGTTGGTGCATTTAATATTCTCCATTTAAATCTCTAAACCTTTACTTTATCATTCACAAAGATATAACTGACATCCTGATTCCTTTTGTTCCTTCTCTTTCCATGTCTCAGGTCAGAAATGATCTTTCTGTTTTGTTTTAGCTTTGGCAGGAAAATAAAGGGGGATGCTGGGCTTTGGGACATCTTCACTTTGGGCAAAGATAGAAATAGTGTCTGCCAAGCTCTTCAGGCCAGGAATGACCAGTTTCCCCACCTAGGACTAGCCTTGCGGAGCCTGCTGTGATTTTGACCCTGAGGGTTGCTCTGGCTCCTAGGCCAACAACGGTGGGCATCAGAGTCCTAAATGAAGGTTATGCTTAATTTAAAAAATGTTTGTTTGTTTGTTTATTAATGTTCTCTGCATCACAGAGTTCCTCAAGCAGCTATATTTATTTTTCAGAAAGCACCTCTACTGCTACATTACAGACCGAAAATGGACTTGCTGTAAGAACTATTTTGTCCTTCTGGACGGTTTTTTGCAGAGACTATCATCAGGCACCTTCTTAGTGCATCATCACTCAATTCACTCGTGACATAGACCAGCAGAATCCATTCCTGAAAACAGTAGTACTTTCCCACCCCACCATCCTGAATATTTCTCTGAGAGATGCATTAACTCAACTTTCGGGACAGTAAAAATATTTATACTATTTTCTACAAAAAAGGAAAGTGCAGTTTGAAAGGACACTACCAGCATGATGTTTACAGACATTGAAAGCACTTCACAGTTCCCTCTGTGTAGCTCAGTTCTTGGTCATCATCTTGAAAGATGCAAAATAGGTTAAAATGTTGGGAAGGAGATAATTTTCAATTTGTCGTCACCAAGCAGCTCTTGGATTGTTTTGCAATTTAACTTAAACATAGCCTTGTCTTTCTTTCTCTCTCTCTTTTTTTTGGACCAGGTTTTCTGTCTCTTAAACTTCATGGGCATCTTGTTATCAGTAAGCCCTTCATAGTATTTAACATTGAAAAAAAAATCTAATGGTTGGCAGTGACTTGACATCATAACACAGTTCTGGATTCTGCTCCTTTGTTCCTCTGCTGATTCATTTGATGAAGGTATTGGAAGACTATGAGTGATTTCCATTTTGTTTCAGTTTTATCAGATCACACCAAACTGCTGAAAATTTAGGGGAAAAAACATCCTTTTTCTGTAATATGTGTGACTTACATAGCTGGGGCTGATATTGGACTTGGGGATTTCCTGTTCAGAAAATGAAATAAGCCTTTAGCAGCCTTAACTACTTGAACTCCAGTATTGTTCTTTTGAACAACACACAATACTAATGCTGGAGCGTGCATTCTGTGACAAGCGTGAGTTCACTGACCTTCCTGCTGGTTTCTAGCTTCTGTAAGAAGACCATTGTGTTTGCCTAATTCTCTACTTGAACTATCTTTATATGTTCAGATTTAGTTGGCACTATGGTACTTTTGGGCCTTAATCTATAAATCTTTATTTATTTTTAAATCCAGCCCCCAAGGGATTGATTTTTCCCTCTAGACTATGTAAGTGCACTTTCTCTAAGGAAAAGTGGGAATGGTGTGTGAAGGTAAATGCTGCTTTCCCTTTAATATCTTAAGGGTTTTTTTTTTTTTAAAGGTTGCATTCAGTGGTGGTACCTGCAAATTTGGACCATGCAAAATATATGTTGTTCTTCATCTGGAAAGGATATGTAAGACTCCTTCATCTGGGGGAACCATGTCATTGATTTTAAATAGTCCAGTGTGTCCAAGAATGCATGCGCATACTCCTTGTTGCATGTATATAGGCATGTTTTCTGTGTCTCTCTTCCATATGCACATACATATGCAGAGGCACAAGTATTCTTTGCATGAACACAAGTCTGCCTTTCCTCCATTGGGCACCAGTTTGGATGGGATATGAATAGAACAGGGAGGAAGTTGCTGCTGAGAAGGATTGGTGAGAGGGCATACTTCTTAATTTTTCATGATTTTTCTTTTTGATGCAGAAGGTTGCCTTTACTCAGTCTTACTAGCTCTATTGCTTATAATCCCAGTGCTGATTGAACACGTTCCTAGTCAGGAGCAGAGGATAGCCCAGTGAAGATGGGCTATACAAGGATTGAGTTTCAGAGAGATCACTAGGAAGATGGAGACTTGAGGTTTCTCCATCCTTTGTGGAAGTCACTTCCACTTTGAGGTTTATGTTTTAATGGTGAATATATTGGACTCATAGCAATTTGCCAATGTGTGTTTCTTGTTCTTCTGAATAGTCTTGCTCTGCAGATGTGGCTAACAGTGAATGTTTCCTATATGGAACAAGCCCCAGCAAGGTACAACAGAGATATGTGACTGGGGTGTGGGTGAGTGGACAAGCCTAAATAAGTACAGGGTTGTGGCAGGAAAGGAATAAAAATGAGTAAATGCAAATGTGAAAGCAGGAAGTTCTTTTCGTGCTGTTGAGTGATTTTTGACATCAGTTATACATCAGATAACATTCAGTTAGATCTCATTTTCTGGAATGAATTGTTCTCACACCACTGGGAACCCCTTATAATTTCTGTTAGAAGCAGATAAATACATTCTTTTCGTAATGCTGATTATTTCTTTTACATCAGCTGAAGTAAAAAGGATCACATTTTTGTAAAATACCAACTAGCTTCTCTTCCTGTGGCTTCTCTTGTCAGCAGCACATGGGTCCATTAGGAACCCATCTCTCCAAACTGACTTACATAAACTTCCTTCTCTAATTTTATAATGATAGATATGAATAGATGGAAATCAAAGGAGTCAGAGGAACAAAGAAAAAATGGGAGCAAGTTGGATAAATATACAAGGTTTTAATTAGCAGTGGAAGTGGCAAT